AATGCTCATTAAAATCCATACACTTTATGGAAAAAAAATGCCATTGAACAAATTAATGCAGACAAGGTAATAAAATGACAAATGAAACTATCTCCAGAGATGAAAGAAAACTCAGTCTCCTCAAAGATGACTGTAGCTACTGGAAAGACTATGGCACTCTAGTCCTTGAGGAGAGCACTCAGAGTGGTTTTGGGTTTTGTCAGGGAGGACAAACACAGGATAAGTTCTACTTCTTCAGTGATAAAACTATTACAAAACAGGGTAGGACACAGAGCTCACACTAGAGTGAACCTATGCTGGAGCGGATCAGTCAGGTGAGGTTAGCTTTAATGGGGAACTCAATACAGTGATTTTAGAAAGTGATTTATAATTTTTCCCTATGGCAAAGAATTTGTAATTTAAGATTTTGTAAATTAAGTTACAGAATGCTAAAACTTAGAAAATTCTGCTTAAACAAACAAAAAAACAAACCTCAGCAAATAAATGAAAAATTGTATTTATCACAGCTGGTAAACACACATCTCTTCTCTATTCCTGCTAGCAACTGATGCAGTTTGGTATTTACTGGACTCACATGCTGAGGAACAGAATCTGGAAAAGGGTCCTGGGAAATTTTATTATACAAATGGTTTAGGCATCAATTGGGGTCTCACTTTCCTTAAATGATCTGCCCCAACTCTCATTAGTCTAGAGCCAACACTCAGGACACAGAACAGGATTCTGCTCCTTGACCAGCAAGCTGTCCATACTTCCATCTAGGATGCCTAGAAGATCTTGGTGTTCAAAATGACAAAAATTTTTATCGTATTTTGGTATTGCTTTAAGTTTCTCATTTTTCCCCTTTCAACATATGTATCAAGGAAAGCTTATGCTTCATTTTAATGCTATCTTCAGTAGCATAAGACAGGTTCCCTCAGGGCATATATAAAGATGGCCTGTTTGTACTTGTGAACAGGGCGTGCAGACTGAGACTGACATTAAAATACACCTTATAATTACTACTGCCAGCATTGCAGACAGTTCAACACCAGCATGATAACTCAACAGTGGGAATACTAGCAGCACTTCTAGAGGCACAGCACAGGGGTTCAGAGGTAGGAGAAGCCAGGTGTCGTTTGCCTTATTACCCATCACCTTTAGATGACCCAATACTGCAACTTGGGACCACTGTATTTTGCGTATGACCTTTAACATACTAACTTGTGTTTTTGCCCCTGCAATTTCTTTATTAAATGTTCATCTAACATGTAAAAAAATCTCCATTTTTACAGCTTCAGAGTTCTCACTCTTTCTGTGTTTCATATCCATGTTACTATGCAGTTGTTTAACTTTGTGCAGCCCTGAAGAGAGATGCCTGGAACTGTAAAGATAGCTGGGGCGGATCAGTCAGGTGAGGTTAGCTTTAATGGGGAACTCAATACAGTGATTTTAGAAAGTGATTTATAATCTTTCCCTATGGCAAAGAATTTATAATTTAAGATTTTGTAAATTAAGTTACAGAATGCTAAAACTTAGAAAATTCTGCTTATGAAGTGTCTCTTTTACTTATAATTTTTTTGTTCAGTTATTCTATCAGGCTAGTTATTCTATGAGTCTGGGCCATGCAGTCTTCCTGAGCTCTGTCTTGTTTGCTTACCCACTTGGAAGCTATGTGGGTCACTCCCCTTGGCTGGAGTAACATTTTTTCATTTATATTGCCAATTTAAGCTAAGGGCTTATTTCAGTTGTTTCAAATTGTGGATATGGTTTATAATGAACAATGTATTCCAGACACCCCAGGGTGCAGCGGGTACTGGAAGTTCTTCTCAGGTCCTTGCAAAGTCTAAGGCACCAATGGTCCCAGGCACATCACTCCCCACCAGGCAGAATGGAGACCAACTCAATGCGCATTCAGGTGCAGGAGTGGAAGCAGATGCACCTTTCTATGTGATGAATGAGCTGGATTAAGACTGGGAGAGAGCAGGTGCTAGTCTGAGATCACAAGGAAGCATTAAAATGAAGCATTAGGAAACCTTCTTCGATAAATGAATTGAAAGGGAAAAAAGAGAAACTTAAAGCAACACCAAAATATGATAAAACATTCCTCTAGCTGCGTATTATTTTAACACAAACAGAATTCATAGAAAAATTATTTGCTGAACTCTGGTCAAATTTGTTCTGTTTGTTGATGACCCATTTCAGCTTGACACTTTTAACAATACCACAAACTCTCATACCAACCAGACCCACTTCAAAGTGTTCTGAACATGCATTAACTTTGCAGCAAGGACTTTGTGTCCAGGACGTGAGTGATGCAGGCTCTCAAAAGTCACCCAGGGGAAAACCTAGAGCTGAAGGTCCTGGATACGGACCATACAGCATTGGACGCTTGGGAGGAAGGAGGAAGTTGAGTCAGGACAGGATTTGCTGACTCCAAACCAGCACTTTCTACGTTACAGTTTGCAGGCCTCCAGGGGTGGTGTTGGGGAAGGGGAGAGAGGAAACAATGCAAAGTAGCAGCCCATGGGAGAAGGCCATCTTCCAGTCAGTTCTACGAAAGACCTAGCTGATAACAGCTGTCCTCCTGGGGCCCCTCTAACAAGGAACAACTGTCTCCACGTCTTTCCCCTTTATGTTTCCCTTTAAGGCTGCCCTTGTCATAGATTCCTAGGATTACTTACAATGATAGGATTTACTTATCTGCCCTCAAGGCTCCTAATCCATCTTGCTCTGGCCCTACTCTGGCTTCAGATTACCTTCTTTTTCTTGCTTCACAGCCCCAGTGTTTTGCACAGTGATGACCTGGGAGCCACCTGCAGGCAAGACTGTTACAGGGAACCCTGCAAGATGAGAAACTGACAAGTATTGTTCTAGTTCCCCAAAATGAGGGAGGAATATAGATTACATCAAGTAGAAGGTAGGGTGTTTATATAAAATTAATCCAGACTTTAGAACAGTGTGCTACTCTATACAGTGCTAACCAACAGAACTTTGGAATTGCTAGAAAGACCTGCCCTGTCCAATATGATGACCACTGACCACCTGAAGTACAAGTACTTAGTGCAACTGAGGAAATAAACTTTAAGTTTAATGTAACTTTATTTCATTTAGTTTCAAATAGCCACATGAAGTTAATGGCTCACATGATATACAGCAACAGCTCTGAATCTAGAATTCACCAAGTTACTTGGTGAGATTTTATGCCAGCCTGTAGACAAGGGAGAACTGTGGGCTGACACTGTAGTTAGACAAACTCAGAACTCATGGATGGCCATTCTCAGAGTGGTGATGAATGGATTAGTGAGAATGGGGAAGGGGCCTTGGTGGGATTCTGTGTACTGAAGGATTCTGTGTGTATCTTGATACAAATTAGTATCCTCTTATCCCCCACCGCATGGCAACAGCTCTTAATGGCAGCCAAGCAAATTAACTTCTAGAGAATGAGTCATTCTAGAAGAGAGAATCAGAATCCCAAAAGATCCTGAAAGGACAGGCCACGGCTAATGGCAAAAGGAGACGTGTCAGAGTGGACAAAATACATGATTTTACAATCCAGTTGTGCCAAGATGGCACCTGGAGGTTGCTTAGCAGGCATGCACATCAGTATTCTGATAACTAGCCACAGTGCCATCTGCATGACCAAAAACCAAATGGGAATTCAGGTTGGTTGCTGAGGGCAGGAGCTGCTTCATGCTATACAGTGATAATCAGATCAAACCTGACACCAGGAAGATGTGAGGTGAAGGGACCAATGCTAGATGTCAAGGAGGGGCCGAGAGCAACTTTGCCTGGAGAGGAAGAAAAGGATGAGCATTTATTCATGTTCAAATACCATCACAATAAAGAAACCTCACTTAGTGATTCACGATCTACAGGTAAAAATCAGAGCAGAGACAGAAGTTCCTGGGCTCCACAGAGGTAGAACAGCTATGATCTGAAAGCTCTTAGTGTGGGCAGGTGGTCTCTGGAGGAACAGTGTACCTCTACTTTGGGTAGATGAGGGGCAGGTAAGGGAGTGTGGAAGACCCAAGGCTTTGAGGGTGGCAGAAGCATCAGGTGTCCGCTGAGGCCCCAGACCCTCAAGTTCTGTGGCTCTGCACATGACATGTCTTCTTCCTGCAGGGATCAAAAGAGGGGGTGGGGGCTACAAACACAGTGGACTCTAGATCCTTACAACCAGAGGAGACCCAGACCTCCCAAAGCCAGGTACTTGAATTATGTGCCTAACAGGGGCTCACCTGGCCTCCCCATTCAAATCAGAAGAGTAAACACACATTCCTTTACATGGCAAATTCATCAGCAACTAAATCAAGGGGGAAATGGAGCCAGGGCATCTCGGCACTTTCCTCCAAACAGGAATACCGCTCTGTCGCATCCCTTTCTGCATCGGCCATTCGCTGGGAGAGGCACTAACACAGCTCACCTGTTAGAGGTGCAGGGTGTGCAAGTTAACCGGGAAGGGATTCTGAGGCTATCAGTGTGAGAGAAGAGCAGCTTGCTCTTTGGGGCTTGCTGAGAACTTTCCAGTGGAGTAGCTGAGTAAGAGGAACTCGGTTAGTGTACAGGCTAACTGCTGATGAGATTGCAAATATTCTATATTTGTTGCTGTTGATTGAAAATTATGAATAAGTAAGAGAAATAGTTAAGAGTGAGCTGGAATTTTGTGCCCTAAAACTTCCTCAATACTTAAACTTCAGAAAAGACACCTGTCAGTCACTGGAATTACTCGTTTATACTCTGCCTTCTAAAGAGGAAAAATAAGGCCCAGAAGTTACTTTATACTTTTTCATTAAGCTGATCACAAAAACAATAGCCTCTCAGATAACTGTTAGTCAATGTGACCCACGTCTTGGATTTGAAACACTGAGTTTTTAGAGTGTTAAAGGCGGGAGACAAACAGCAAGTGCTGTCCACATAGGGCTTTAGTATGCCAACTTCCTAAAGAGCCAAGATCCATGGCTGTGGATTCTGTGGCTTGTTTGGGGTAGCTGGCGACACACTTATGGAGGGAAGCAGATGAGCAGAGTGCCATTACTTTGATTTATTGCATTGTGATAAGTACCACGGGGAGGGCCTGAGAACAAGTCCGCTTCATCAGCAGTTCTAAAGCCGTATTACCTGAGATTTGCATTCAGGGGTGGAGTGGGGAAAGGGGTGTGAAGGGGGGAATCAAGATTGCATTGTCAATACATATGTCATCTGAGATTTGGGTTTTGGCCCTGATATAAGAATTGTACTAACCTGAAAAAGGCTGTGTGTGATTACAGAGAGAAACCAGCTAAACACCAAATCCCGGTGAAAAATGTGCAATTAACCAGAGAGTCACGTGCGTTAACAAAACACCTTCCTTTGGGGTGGAGAGGAACTCAGGAGACATGTGACAGAGTGCAGGCTACTCAAGGCACTTCCTGCCCAGGGCTGCCAGCTTTAGCATGCCCGGGGAGCCCAGTCCTTGAGTCTGTTCTCTTCATTGTCTGCTCCCAGTCACTTCTCGTCGTCTCGCCCGTAGTTAATTGTCTGTAAGGCCTGAGCTATGAGTGTGGCCATTTCCCGGGTGCCTGCAGCAACCACTCTGCAGGACATGAGGTCGAGGGGTCCACCTGAGGAAAGAGAGGGAGAAAGACCTGGATGATTTGGAACAACCACCCAGCATGTGCACATTCCAAGGCAAACAGCTCTGGGCCCTGCTCCAGAGCAGCCCAGACTGGTCTAGACGTGAGCCTGGCCAGAGAGGGTGGAGGTGTGTCAGAAACCCCTGTTCTGTATGAATGCAGGGCCAGAGAACAGCAACACCAGTTCAGAGGCCTCACTGAGGAGACAGAGTGTATGACTTAACACTCAGATCTAAAATCCAAATGAACAGTGAGGTCGTTGTGAGGGGGATCAAAATTTGCCACCCCAAAAATGTCTCTAGTTAAAGGATTATTTGAGGCTGATTATTTTCTTCTTTTTTTTCAAAGATTTGTTTATTTATGCATATAAGAACTGAGGTATATGCAGAGGTGTGTGTGTGGGGAGAGGTGTCGTGTGAAAGGATTCACCAGAGAGAGTGGGGAGCAGAACAGGTGGATCTACGGAAACGCACTGCTGAGGGAAGCAGCGGACAAGACAGGAGAGGTCTACTGCAACATGTGGGTCACCTTCCTGGCCAGCCAGGTATGGAACTCATGCTGCAGTGGCTGGCAGTAGCTTGACAGTGCTGTCTTTAAGCCCTGGACCTCCAGAAAGGCTCTATGACTGATGATTTTCAAGAAACAGTAGATTCAAGGAGTTTATCTTTTCTGCTTCTTTAACTACCTAAAGGAATGCAGATGGAGGGCATGTCACAGGAAGGGAGCATCTGTTACCAGCGACTAACTTCTAAGAATGTAAGTTAGAATATGGGTGGGAAATATTTGCAAGGGCTCTGTTCAAAGTCCTTCTGTGTCCCCTTGTCTCTGCATGGCATAGCAAACATTTTTTTCCTCCTTTTTTCTGTACATTATCATTCCCCTTTGAAGTTCCATATACCTACCTCCCTTCTTCCAGGCTCAGGGTAACAAATAAACCCAAGGTCTAATTGTCAAGGAGAGTTCCCATAAGTGAAAAAGAAAATTTTCTCCTGTTGTTAATTTTGTTAATTTAAGTGTTACATCAACCAGAGAACCAAAAAGGGTAAAAAGAAAAATTTTCCTCCTCACCACCGGGAGAGAGAAGGAACAGCAGTGCTTTGCTATAAGTGTGGCGCCCATGACCCATGGGATGGAGCCGCAGACTCAGCAGGTCAGGGTGGGGTTTGGTAGTATCATGGTCTAGTCATTGTCGTTGTGCCCCTGGGTGGAGGGCAGGCCGTGGGTCTCACCTGAAGTGTCTATAACAATGCCACCTGCTTCTCTAATGATGACCGTGGCTGCAGCCAGGTCCCAGCAGTGCAGGCCAAATTGGTAATAGGCATCTGCAGCCCCCGAGGCCAGGTGGCAGAGTGCCAGGGTGGAGCTGCCAATCACTCGGACCCTGGGGCAAGCGGAGAGAGAAAACGCACAGGTGAGCAGACTGAACATAGGCTGGACTTTTTTAAGTGGTAGATATACTGCCATTATCAAAGACCACTTCTTTGCTGGGCATTCCCAGTAATTAAAAGTGAGCCACAGAATTTCTAATAATAATAAGTCCCAGATTCACGACCAAGGGTCTGGAGCAGTTATCTTCTCACAATGGGGGAAATGTGTATACCTTGGTAGCCACTGGCCACCTGTGACTGATGTGCACTTAAAACTAGCCAGTGACCTTCAGAACTCCACAAAGTATCACTATGTTAAATTTAAAGTGCCTCATGGGCTAGTGGTGTTACAGCAGAGGCCTAGATAAAGGATGGCAAAGGAAATTTTCTTGGACTTGGATGAACTGCTCCTAAATGCTTAGCAGAGTAACACCATTTATGAAGGCTCTGGGCACACAGAGGACTTGACAGTGGTTTGAGATCAGTTATGTGGCTTCCTACATGTTAATCAGAAAGGAACAGAGGTCCCCTTCCCATGCCCTAACGCTGGCTGCCGAAGCTGTCCTGGGCAATGACAGGGCATGAGGCCTCTCAGGCCTCAGTGGGGACTGCACGTGCCCTCTGGCCCTATCATGTCAGAATCTTTTCCCCTTACAGTCCCTGAGAGGCTGCAAACTGGCACTTGGCACTTTCCTCCTTTGCCCCAGGGTTTTCCAAGAACTAAAAGTTCATACCCATGAGCTTTGGCGTGGAGTAACCTCTCCATGTTGCTCAGGAACAATTTCAGAGTGGCAGGATCACGTTTGGGACCGATTTCTGTTAGAACCAAGGCCTTTGAGAGATCTGCAACAGAAAGAATTCCCCCAAGTCAGAAAACCCAATTCTTGGTTCTAGCTGAACAGTTGAGGTCTTCTCTGAAACAAACTAAAAATATCAGCCCTCTTACTCCTTCTCAGAATATGATCTTTTAAGTGGTTTACACTAGGAAGTTTTCCTGACAGCTATGCTGAAAAACAGAAGACAGTAAGAAAAGAAAAAAATGTGTATCCTACTTCTTCATTGCTCCTTCAGCTGCTTCATTTTTGTTTTCTTTCCATGGTACATTTTATATATGTTTTATATATGTACCATGAATAACATGGACAAATTTGGTAAGTTATGAAAATTAACATCATACAGTCACAAATAAAAAATGATGCTAAGTGGGCTCTCCCTGGTGGCGCAGCGGGTTAAAGCACAGCACTAAGAAACTAAAGCCACTTCCGCATAAGTTCAATTTCTGCCCATCCCAGAGGTGACCCACATGGTGCAGCATGCCGCCAGCTGCTCCCCTCAGCAGTGTACTTCATCAGTCTGCTTGTTCTGCTCCACACTCTGTCCCTGGTGAATCCTCTCACTACCTCTGTACTTCTGGCCTGTACCCCAGCTCTGTATGCATAAATAAATATATCTTAAAAAAAAAAAAAAAAAAAGATGCTAAGGGCCCTCCCTGGTTGCACAATGGGTTAAAGCCCAGCACTAAGAAGCTAAAGCCACTTCAGCATGAGTTTGATCGCCACCCCGGAGGGGACTCACATGGCACAGCAGACCTCTCCTGACCCACCTGCTGCTCCCCTCAGCAGTGTACTTTGTCAGTCTGCCTATGCTGCTCCCCACTCTGTCTCTGGTGAATCCTCTCACCGCCTCTGCACCTCTGGCCTCTACCCCAGTTCTATATGCACAAATAAATAAATCACATACACACAAAAGATGATGCCAAACTGAAAACAGCCAATGTTTGGGGTAGGAGATAGAGGCCTCATCAAATTACTAACTTTAAAAATCTTTCCTTCTGTGATCACAGAGATGGAAATAAATACCTACCTTCAGGAGAGGAAAACTTTTAAATAACACTGTCTTTGGAAAAGAGGCCCCTCAGCATAAAGAAGGACATGGTAGCTGTTTGTGTGGCGCCCTTTGCTGTGGGGATGGGCTGCCCTGTCTAGGCACACAGTTCTACCAGGAGAGGTGAGCTACCGAGCAGGAGGCAGGCTGTGGTATGGGGGACACAGCTGGGCTCCTTCTTGTGCTCACTCAGTGGTGGGGGTCGCAAGGGTCTGCTTTGTCACATACACATGCACACAGAGTCATGCATGCGTGTCAGTCACTGAGGCACAATGTGCCTTGCAGACTATGTTCAGGCCACAGAAAGAAGCTACCACATGAAGAAGAGGGAAGACACTATCACATTCACTCAATAGATCCGACACCATCTCCTCCAAGGGACCAGATCACTGTCCTTCCTGAGGACCTATACCCATGTTCTCCTTATGCCAGAGGCCCTCATAAACACTTTCTGAAAAGACCTGGCTCGCCAACCAGTGCTCCCTGATTCTGAAGCCTGAATCATTTCTTGCCAGGAAAACCCAGCACCAAAGCCAGAGTAGTGTGCCCCCCATGTGTCAGGTGTGCGTGCCCAGGCTCGGCCAGAGGGTGCATGGGCTGCTGGTGGTTCAGAGTCTTGCAGACACGACCAGTCAATCTGCCATTGCTACCCACTCACCCACCATTCAATTGGTCATACTCTGAGAAGGAGTTATCCCAGGGGTGAGAAAGACTTTTTTTTAAAGATTTATTTTATCTTTTTATGCAGAGCTGGGGTACAAGCCAGAGGTACAGGGGCGGTAAGAGGCCTCACCAGAGAGAGAGTGGGAGCAGAACAGGCAGATTGACGAAGTACACTGCTGAGGGAGCAGCGGGTGGGTCAGGATGGGTCTGCTGCACCATGTGGGTCACCTCCAGGGCGGGGATGGAACTTGCACTGAAGCGGTTGCAGCCAGCTTGCAGTGCTGCATCCTAACCCACTGCACCACCAAGAAGGGCCCAAGAAAGACTTTTTTTTTAGAAATAATATAATAATTTATTATTACATCATTTTGTGCCTTTTTCCATCTCAGTTGTAATCCCCGTGGGTTTCCCATCACAAAATCACCCGTTTGCCATTACCATAGTCCAATGCACTTTCCTCTCCCTGCTGTTTTTGATCCCATTCCTCACTCCACCCCCACAAAATGTCTCTGGTATATAGCTGTTCATTATTATTGTTATTTCCAAGAAAGACTTCTTTAGAAGGAAAAGGGGTCCTCCCTGGTGGTGCTGCAGGTTGGAGCACAGCACTGTGAAGCTGGCTGCCGCTTCAATGTGAGTGGATCCCTGGCCCAGGAGGTGAGGAGGTGACCACATGGCACCACAGACCTCTCCTGTCTCGCCTGCTGCTCCCCTCAGCAGTGTACCTCGTCCATCTGCCTGTTCTGCTCCCCACTC